TGGTTCCCTCCCATACGACCCTGACCAGGGCTGGAGACCGAACCACTACTGAGGTATGTGCCCTTGACTGGAATCAAACCTATGTCTCTTTGGTCCATGGTCCAACACTCTAACCGCTGAGCCAAACCAGCCAGGGCTGCATTTCTTAATTGTATCATTTTCTCTTGTACTTGATTTAATTTTGTGTTATTTTGTTCATCATGGCCCCTAAATGTACAGAATCCACTGCTAATGTTGCCGGTAAGAGGCTAAGTGATTCAGGACTGTGAAGGTGGAAAATCAGTGGTGGTTATTGCTCACCAGTCAGGCATGTCTCATTCCACCATAGCTATGATTTTGAAGAACAAAAACAACATGATGAAAACTATTGAAGGATCTGCTTCATCAAAGGCAATGAGACTAAGAAAATTCACTAAGGACCTATATCAGACAAGAAGCTTCTAATAATCTGATTGAAGACCAGATAGAATGGTATCCCTCTCAGCACTGTGACAGTTATGGCCAAAGCAAAAGATTTGTTTGTGATGTTGGAAAAAAGGCTGGGACCCATCTACAGTGTTGAATTTACTGCTGTTCTGGGTGGTTTAAACAATTCATGAATCGTTATTCCTTCCATAATATGAAAGTGAGTAGTCAGTAGTGAGTCTGACTGTTGATGTGAAAATGGCTGAGGAATTTTTGGAAAGTCTAAATAAGCTGATTGTGGAGGAAAATTACTTGCCAGAACAAATATCCAGTATGGCTGAAACCTCTCTATTCTGGAAACAGGTGCCTAAAAGGACTCTCATCCATAAGGAAGCCAAGGCATTGCCAGGTTTGAAGGCTTTTAAGTACAGGATAATAGTCTTGCTTGGGGGCAGTGTTGCAGGTTACAAATTGAAACCCTTTGCCATCTGGCACAGTGAGCCCCAAGGCCTTCAAGCATTTCACGAAGCACACACTGCCAGCATACTACAGGAGCAATAAGAAATCATGGATGGCCCAGCCAGTGTGTCTCAGTGGTTGAGCATCGACCCATGCACCAAGGGGTCGCCAATTCGATTCCCAGTCAGGGCATATGCCCAGGTTGTGCACCTGATCCCCAGTGGGGGCCATGCAGGAGGTGGCCAATCCATGTTCTCTCTTATCGATGTTTCTAGCTCTTTCTCTCTTTTCCTTTCTCTCTCTCTAAAATCAATAAAGGGGGGGGAAAGTTAAAAAAGAAAGAAAGAAATTATGGATGAACCCAGCTTCTCTTCGAAGGTGCCGTTTTGAATTGCTTTGCCAATAGAGAAGTACTGTTTGGAGAATAAAATATTTTTCAAGATTTTGCTCATTGTTGAATGCTCCCAGGCATCCTCCTTCTATTGGTAATCTTCCCTATATCAAATGCTATTTCTTCCAACAAATACCATCTCTTTGATCAACCAATGGATCAAGGAGTTACTGCAGTGTTTAAGGCCTTCTACCTGAGGAGGACCTTTACCCAGGCTATTGCTGTAACTGAAGAAGACACTGATGCAATTCTGGAAGGATTACAACATCTATGATTGCATCAAGAACCTTGCTTGGGGGGGCGAGGGGTGATGTCACCAAGAAGTGTATGAATGGCATATGTAAGAAGACACTCAAGAGATTCGTTCATAACTTAAAGGATTTGCCAGGGATGAAGAGGTTGCAAAAATTTTACAAGGCTGTGATTGAGATGGCAAACAACTTTAACCTTGGTATGGATGAGGGTGACCAAGAGGTGGTTCCTGGGAATTTACTGAGGGGTTATTAGAACTGGAACATGAAAGTATAGCTGAAGAAGAGGCAAGAGAAAAGGAAACTGCAGAAGGAAGAAATAAAATTCATAGGAAAATTCACTGTGAATGGTTTAGCGATAGCTTTTGGAGACCTCAACCAAGCTCTTTAAAAGTTTAAAAATATAGACTCAAAACTGAAAGGTTTTCATTTATAGAGAGGATTCATGGTATATTATCTGCTTTCAAGCAAATGATTAAAAAAGAAGAAACAGCCCTGGCCGGTTTGGCTCAGCGGTTAGAGCGTCGGCCTGCGGTCCCGAGAGACCCGGGTTCGGTTCCCGCTAAGGGCATGTACCTTGGTTGCAGTTTGTCCCCGGCCCTGGTCGGTTGTGCGGGTGGCAGCCACTCGATGTGTCCCTTTCACATCGATGTTTCTCTCTCTCTGTTCCTCTCTCCCCACCCCACTCTACCTGAACAACAACAAAAAAAAAAATGAAAAAATGTCCTCGGGTGAGGATAAAAAAAAAAAAGAAGAAACAAACCACCATGAACATATTTCTGAAAAGAGGTATACCTGCTCAAGAAGAGCCTCAAGCAGGTCTTTCAGGAGATATTCCAAAAGAAGGCATTGTTGTCACAGGAGAGGACAGCCTCATGCATATTGTTGTCCCTGAAGACCTTCCAGTGGGACAAGATGTGGAGGTGGAAGACAGTAAGTGACATTGATGATCCTGATTCATGTAGACCTAGGCTAATTAGTGTGTTTATGTCTTTTTTTTAACAAATAAAATTTAAAAAGTGAAAAAAGTTAACATTTTTTAAAAATAGGAAAAAGTGCCCTGGCCAGTTTGGCTCAGCAGCTAGAGCATCGTCCTGCAAACCAGAGAGACCCAGCTTCAGTTCCCTCTAAGGACACGTACCTTGGTTGCAGTTTGTCCCCAATCGATGTGTCTCTCTCTCATTGATGTTTCTCTCCCCCGCCTCACTCTATCTGAAAATATCAGCGTCGACCCATGCACCAAGAGGTCGCCAGTTCAATTCACAGTCAGGACATAGGCCTAAGTTGTGGGCCTGATTTCCAGTGAGAGGCATGCAGGAGGCGGCCAGTCGTTGTTCTTTCTCATCGATGTTTCTATCTCTCTCTCCCTCTCCCTCTAAAAACAATAACAGGAAAAAAAAATTTTTTTAATAGGAAAAAGTTTATAGAATAAGGATATGAAGAAAAAATATTTTTGTATAGCTGTAAAATGTTTGTTTTAAAAGAATCAAAAAGTTAAAAATTAAAAAGTTTATAAAATAAAAAAGTTACAGTAAGCTAAGGTTAATTTATTGAGAAAAATTTTAAATTTAGTGTAACCTATGTGTACAGTGTTTATAAAATCTACAGTAGTGCCCTGGCCGATTTGGCTCAGTGGTTAGAGCATCGGCCTGCAGTCCAGAGAGACCCGGGTTCGGTTCCCACTAAGGGCACGTAACTCGGTTGCAGTTTGTCCCTGGCTCTGGTTGGTCGTGCGGGTGGCAGCCACTCGATGTGTCCCTTTCACGTCGATGTTTCTCTCTCTCTCTCTCTTCCTCTCTCTCCCTCCCACTCTATCTGAACTAAAAATGGAAAAATGTCCTCGGGTGAGGATATAAAAAAAGAAAAAGAAAAAAAATCTACAGTAGTGTACGTAATGTCCTAGGCCTTCGCATTTACTTACCTTTAACTCACTGACTCACCAAGAACAACTTCTAGTTCTTCAAGTTTCATTTAAGTGTCTCATACCACTATCTTTCATATCATATTTTTACTATATCTTTTCTATGTTTAGATATGCTTTAATAGACAAATACCATTGTGTTATCGTTGCCTACAGTGTTGAGTACAATAATATGCTATACAGGTTTGTAGCCTAGAGGCAAAGGCTATACATTATAGCCTAGGAGCGTAGTAAGCTGTCCATCTGCTTGTGTAAGTGTACTCTTTGATGTTTGCATAATGATAGCTCACCTAAGGATGCATTTCTCAGAATGTATACCTGTCATTAAATGAAATGACCATGACTGTTATTACCTATCTAATATGTCTTTAAGCAATATATTATTGTTTTGCACGATTGAACATTTTACTACATGGTATCATAATACATGTGTCTATGGATTTTGGAAATAGTGTTTGGCATTCATTACATCGTTTTTTCTGATGTACTTTGCTATATTGCTCAGGCTTTAAAGCTAAAAACTACGCTTCCCAGGTTCCCTTGCAACTATATTTCTGTATTTGCTTTGAATTCTAGTCAAATGCATTCATGTGACATTTGCAAGGCAGAATTACAACAGATGTCTCCAGGTCTAGTCCTGGCTTTGAGAAGCAGGACACAAAGGGTCCATTTTGATGGTACTGTCATAGGAGGCAAATGTAGTTTTAGGGCTAACAGCAAATGTTAACAGCCTCTGATTGCTGACTTCCTGATTTTGATGATTATCTGATTTTGGCAGTTCTTATCTTATTAGCTTCCTATTTGTGGCAATAGTGGAGTCAAGGGCTTTCAGGTTAGAGGAGGGGGAGCAGTTACCAGTGGCCTAAGTAGTGCTTTGGAAAGCTTCATGGGAAAAATGTTGGAGTCAAGGGCCCATCAAGAGTGAGAGCTCTGGTTTAACATCCTTGTCTTCTGGGTTGGGATGCTAAAGGGCTGTGCGCCATAGACGAAGGGTGAATTGGAGGCAAACCAGTCCTCAAGTGAACTGCAACCTAAAAACATCTTGATCCATGAAATATATCTCTGGAGAAAGATAATATCCTAGGCCTCAAATTGTTAGTACAGAGAAACAAAAGTATGGAAAACACAGAAGAGGAAGGGAGTAGATACCATGGGAAGGTCCTGTCCACATCCATTTGGAGTCTCAGAAGAGTGGAAAGAGAGAATAGGGAAAAGCCAATATTTGAAGACACATTGGTTGAGTTTTATCAAAATTGATAAATTGCCCTGGCCGGTTTGGCTCAGCGGTTAGAGCGTCGACCTGCAGTCCAGAGAGACCCAGGTTCGGTTCCCGCTAAGGGCACATGCTTTGGTTGCGGTTTGTCCCCGGCCCTGGTTGGGTCGTGTGGGTGGCAGCCATTCTATGTGTCCCTTTCACGTCGATGTTTCTCTCTCTCTCCCTCCCTCCCTTCCTCCCACTCTATCTGAACAAAATACCAAAAAATGTCCTCGGGTGAGGATAAAAAAAAAATTGTTGAGAATTCTGTTTTGTCACTGTGTTTACTTTTAAAGGTTTTCCTCTTTATCTTTTTAGGTTTCCTCATATGTAGGTTCATGTTATTCATCAAGTCTGTATCCTTAGTCATTAGCTCTTGAAAGTTGCCTCTTGCCCTGGCCAGTTTGGCTTAGCAGTTAGAGAGACGGCCTGCGGACCAGAGAGACCTGGGTTCGGTTCCTACTAACGGTACGTACCTCGGTTGCAGTTTGTCCCCGGCCCCAGTTGGGGTCCTGTGGGTGGCAACCAGTCGATGTGTCTCTCTCACATCGATGTTTCTCCACCAGCGCCACCCCACACACACACACACCCCCCCCGCTCTCCCTCTGCTAAAATTTAAAAGAAGAACGTTGCCTCTTTCCCACTCTTTCTGTTCTCTTTTTCTAAAGTCCTATTAGATGGATGGTTGATCCTCCCATTCTGAACTCCATGTACCTTTCTTTCATAGCTTCGGAATAAAGCTCTCCACTGAATTCTGACTTTTTTCTTCAAAACTATCCTGGCCCTGGCCAGTTTGGCTCAGCGGTTAGAGCGTCAGCCTGCGGTCCGGAGAGACCCGGGTTCGGTTCCCGCTAAGGGCACGTACTTCAGTTGCAGTTTGTCCCCGGCCCTGGTTGGTCGTGCGTGTGGCAGCCACTCGATGTGTCCCTTCACATCGATGTTTCTCTCTCTCTCCCCCTTCCTCTCTCTCCCTCCCACTCTGTCTGTACAAAAAAATGGAAAAATATCCTCGGGTGAGGATAAAAAAAAAAAAACTATCCTGAAGGTTTACCATCTCTCTTTCCATCTATGTTCAGTCTGCTGATTGACCTATTATTAATTTCACTGAGTTTACTTTTCATTTCTAGAAGTTCTGTTTCAAATCAATTAGTCTAATTTTTGAAGAGTTTTTAATGCCCTACTTCATGCTTTTAGCCATTTAAATATCCAATCCAGTGTCTGTAGTTCTTGAGTGTCTAATCCAACTATATTGGATTGGCTTTGCTTCACTTATGGTTAATTGATTCTTGATGTGTTTTTGAAATTTTAGATTATCTGTTTATATTTGGCAGGGCTTTGCCTTTGGGACATCTTTACTAGCAAGATCAAACATAATATGTCTTTGGAAGAATAGAGGTTTCCCACATAGCCCTGCCAAGCATAAGCTCACACAGACTTATAGTTGTGAATTCTCAGGAGAGAGTTTTCTGTCATTTCTTTGCTTTTTTTAATCTCCCCCCCACCCCCGCCCCAAAGATATTTTTCCACTTATCTTCAGATAGACTGTGAGGGAGTGAAGGAGAGAAAGAGAGACAGACATCATCAACTGGTTGCCTCCCTTATGACCCTGACCAGGGCCGGGGACCAAACTGAAACCGAGTTATGAGCCCTTGACTGGAATTGAGCCCATAACTCTTTGTCCTCTTTCTTTTCCTCTTCTTTCTTCCAACCACCCAGAGAGCCAAGATGAAGAAATTTCCTTGCCATCTCCTTTTGCTTCTGTTTTGTCTCCCTGTACCAATGAACAGATTTTATCCTTTGTCACCGTCCTTGCATTATTTTTGTTTTTTGTTTTGTTAATCCTCACCCGAGGATATTTTTCATTGATTTTTACATAGAGTGCAAGGGATGAAGGGAGAGAGAGGAGAGACAGAGAGACATTAATTGGTTGCCTCCCACATACATCTAGACCGGGGCCAGGATTGAACCTGCAACCAAGGTATGTACCCTTGACCAGGAATCGAACCTGTGACCCTTTGGTACTTGGGCCAACGCTGTAACTGCTGAGCCAAGTCAGCCAGGGCCACTATTTTTGTTTTTGATCGGCTTTATTAAGGCATGATTTACATACAATAAAATTTGCCAGTTTTATTTATTTTTTAATCGTCACCTGAGGATATTTTTCCATTGCTTTCTAGACAGAATGGAAGGGAGGGAGGGAGAAACAGAGAGAAATATTGATGTGAGAGAGACAACGATTGGTTGCCTCCTACATGACCTCTAGCAGGGCTGGGGGTCAAACCTGCGGCCCCTCGGTCCACAGGCCAACTCTCCAACTGCTGAGGCAAACTGACCAGGGCATATTTTTCCAGTTTTAAATGTACAACTTGATGAGTAACTACTGCCGCAATCATATGAACATTTAGATCACCAAAGAAGTTGTCTAATGCCCCTTTGCAGTTAGCCTTCTCTCTCCAACCCTGATCTGTTTTCTGTTACTAGAATTTTGCCTTTTCTAGAACTTCATATAAATGTTGCCATACAAGCTCTGGCCAGTATGGCTCATCAGTAAGAGTGTTGCCCTCGGACCAAAGAGTCCCGGGTTCGATTCTGGCCAAGGTTACGTACCTCGGTTGCAGTTTGTTCCCAGCCCTGGTTGGGGTTGTGTGGGTGGCAACCAGTCTATGTATCTCTCTCACATCGTTGTTTCTCTCTCTCAGAGCTCTTTTTCTCTCTCACTTCCTTTCTCCCTCCAGCTCTATCTGAAGATTAATGTAAAAAGTGTCCTCAGGTGAGGATTAAAAAAATTTTTTTTAAATGTAACCATACAAAATAATGTTACATCTAGCTTTTTTTTTTTTCACTTAACATAATCTTTTTGTGATTCATCTATGTTCTTGCATGCATGAGTAGTTCCTTTTTATTGCTGAGTAGTAAGTATTTCATTATATGGCTATACCATAATTTGTCTATCAGTTCACTTGTTGGTGGATATTTGGGTTTTCTTCAGCTTTGGGCTAATATGAATAAAGCTACTAGAAGGTTCTCATTTAAATCTTTGAAGATATATGTTTTCATAGCTCTTGGATAATACCTAGAGGTATAATGACTGGGTCATATGTAAAATGTGTTTAACTTTATAAAAAGAACTACCAAAATGTTCTTCAACCCGGCTGTACCATTTTGCTTTACCACTAGCAATGTGAGAGTTCCATTTGCTTTATATGCTCACCAACTCTTAGTGTCGTCATCCTTAATTTCTCTCATTCTAGTAGATGTGTATAGTATCTCATTATGATTTCAGTTTGCATTTTATGAATGACTAATAATTTTGAGCACTTTTTATATGCTTCTTTGTCATCTGTGGATTGAGTCTTTCAAACCATGAGGATGGGTTATCTATTTAGTTTTTTAATTTCTTGGTAATATTTTATAGTTTTCAGTGTACATATCTTATACATCATCTGTCAGATTTATCATTATTTAGTTTCTTTTCTTTTCTTTTTTTTTAATCCTCACCCAAGAACATTCCTTCATTTTTTGTTCAGATAGAGTGGGGGGAGGGGGGAGAGAGAGAGAGAGAAACATGTGAAAGGGACACATCAAGTGGTTGCCGCCCTCGCAACCCAACCCGGGCCGGGCCGGGCCGGGGACAAACTGCAACCAAGTCACATGCCCTTAGCGGGAACCGAACCCGGGTCTGTGTGGACTGCAGGCCCTAACCGCTGAGCCAAACCGGCCAGGGCCCTATTCCATTTCTTTTTTTTTTATCCTCACCCGAGGACATTTTCCCACTTTTTGTTCAGATAGAGCGGGAGGGAGAAAGAGGAAGAGAGAGAGAGAGAAACATCGACATGAAGGGACACATCGAGTGGCTGCCACCCGCACGACCAACCAGGGCCGGGGACTAACTGCAACCGAGGTACGTGCCCTTAGCGGAACCGAACCCAGGTCTCTCTGTACCACAGGCCGACGCTCCAACCGCTGAGCCAAACCGGCCAGGGCCCTATTCCATTTCTTAATGCTCTTGTAAATAGTATTGTAAATAAATCCCGATTGTTGGTTTATAGAAAGACAGTTGAATTATTGGTCTTGTATGCTGAGACCTAGTTAAATTCATATTTAGTACTGTGCCCTTTTTTTGGTATATTCCTTAGCATTGCCTGCATAGACAATTATGTCTTCTGCAAAAAAAGACAGCTTAACTCCTTCCTTTCTAATCTTTTATTTGTTTTTCTTGCCTGTAGAAACTGGCTAGAACCTCTACCACAATGTTGAGTAGAAGTGATGAAACCTTCATCCTTGTTTTTAGGGAAACTTCCCCTAGAGCATATTTTCTTCCTACCTTCACAGCATCTGTTATTCATATTTGGTGTTCAGACGGGTTGGAAGGAGCAGTATGTAGGAGTTGACTACTACACTATAAAGCTAGGATTGTGTTTTAGACTAAAGAATGTTGCATCCAAGAGTGAGCTTGTCATCTGACCTATGTATGTAGTGACCTATAACATAGTCTGAGTGGAGATAATTTGAAATAAACATGCTAACATACTGTTGCAGGATGAGTTTTAATATAGGGTGGGTGCTGGCTTTAAATAAGTTAAAGGCAAACTTTATAAGAAAACAGGTAGCCCGGCCGGTGCGACTCAGTGATTGAGCATTGAACCATGCACCAGGAGGTCGCCAGTTTAATTCCTGGTCAGGACACATACCCAAGTTGTGGGCTCAGTCTCCAGTGGGGGGCTGCAGGAGGCGGCCAATCAATGTTCTCTCTCATCAGTGTTTCTATCTCTTTCCCTCTCCCTTTCTCTCTCTCTAACTTCAATAAGGAAAAAAAAGAAAACAGGTAGGCCTACCACCAAACATTCCCATCTTTTCCTTATTCATAATATAACAGGAAGTTTCATTTTCTAAACATGCTATTCATTAGTAACAAGGTGATTTCAATCTTTTATTTGAAACTACCATCTTTTGACAGTCTTCCAGCCCATTAAATGTAATGTTTGTGTTCAGAATGATCTGTTTTGCAAATTGTTGCGTATCTACTGAGTCAGGTACCTACTCTTCCTGATACTTTTAAGTCTGCATATAAATAAGGGAAAGTAAGTATTGAAGAATACATTTTGGCAAAGGGGAAAAACTGGAACTTTTGTAGGGTATGTGTTACATGAATTTTGCAAGCAGATAAGTTAAAGGAGGCACTTAGTTGTATACAATAATTCAAGGACTTATATTTACTGCTAAAGCAAGTGGGCTTATTTGAAATACAAAGGCTGCATGTATTGAAAATTATTTATTTTCACTATGGTTTCTTAAATGGTGAGAAGCTATCTTTCTTTACACTAATAAAAACTCCGGGCAGTACCATGGCACTAAGACTTCTTGTGATAATGTCCTTAGAAGATAATGTCTGTTGGACAAGTAATGTTGAAAAACAACTCAGTTAGTTGAAAGCTTGATGTGAAGGGTGGAAGTGTTTGTTGTCAGCAGTGCTAGGTGGGAGTGCTTTATTGCTGACATACTGTTTTAATTTTATATACTTCAGATATTCAGATTTGAACTGCATTTTGGAATTCATCTACCCTTAAAATGCCACCAGCAGTTGGAGGTCCAGTTGGATATACCCCCCCAGATGGAGGCTGGGGGTGGGCAGTGGTAGTTGGAGCTTTCATTTCCATCGGCTTCTCTTATGCATTTCCCAAGTCTATTACTGTGTTCTTCAAAGAAATTGAAGGAATATTCAATGCCACCACCAGTGAAGTGTCATGGATATCCTCCATAATGTTAGCTGTCATGTATGGTGGAGGTAAGTACCTGCCATTCAGTGTTCATTAAGCAGCCAGAGGCTCTGTATTAGGTCATGTTTTTTTTATGTCTCATTCAGTGAGGTGTTTTGAAATGTTATTTCTTGAAGCTTTATGATTAGAGTCCCATTTTTCACTTCTTTTAGCAATGACAACTTTTGTGATTTGCCCCCACTCACTATCATTGAACTTTAAAAAGCTCTCAGAAAAATGACACAATGCACAACTGAATTTTCTTATGTTCTCTGCTTGGCTCTTAAGATGTAAACAAGATTTTTAAAAATTGATTGGGGAGAATGAAAGTAAATCAGGTTAACCTGAATAACTAATTCAAAGTCTCAGATAAAAGCTTTTCATGGTATTAGAAAAAAATAAATAAATAAAATCTCTTCCTTGTTCCTTGTGATGTTATTAGTCCTAAAAGCATTCCAGCTTCACCTTAAACTTAAGTTTTATCATTTTTCCCCCCTTCTGTCTTTGAAATGTGGAGAGTAGATTAGTGCTTACTTAATAACATCATTTAAAAACTGTTTGTTGCCCTGGCCAGTTTGGCTCAGCAGTTAGAGTGTCAGCCTGTGGACCAAAGGGTCTTGGGTTCAGTTCAGGTCAAGGGCACGTACCTGGGTTGCAGACCCCTGTTGGGGTTGTACAGGAGGCAACCAATCGATGTTTCTTTCTCTCCCTCCCTTCCATTCTCTCTAAAAAAATTAATGGAGAAATATTCTCGGGTGAGGATTAACCAAAAAAAAAAAAAAATACGCATACACACTTGCTTAGTTAGCAGAGATTCTAAAGCCAAATGTATTTCTTTCCTGGGATTGACAGTGTCTCATGTTGCTTATTTAGGCAAGCTTTCACTTCTGGTGATCTTATTTTTGGTGGCAGTTTAGTACCTCAGATTATTTTCATACGTAGCTCTTTAATAGCCAGTATAAATGTTCTATATTTTAACTGTTAAACTGAGCCTTAGGCTTCTAACCTGGTCTCAGATTCAACCAATTTTTATTAAGTGCTGTGCACATATTCCACACTAGCTTAGCTGTTGTGATAGAGAACACTAATCTTGAGCTCTGCCTTTGGGAAATTTATAATCATGTTGAGACAATAGCATAAGCTCATGAAACAGAAATAAGTAGTTGAAGTCATAATTGAATTAACTGCATAATTTTATTGTGCAGAGAAAACACGTAACCTAGATACCTTAGAGAGAGAGAAATTGGGTGACTGAAACAAGTGTGGGAAGGCATTTTTTTCTGCTATATATCTTTTGAGTCTTTTAAATTTTGAACATAAGCCTGTTTTGTCTATTAAATTTAAGTGGTTTTTAAAGGATGTAAGTGCTAAATTGTGGTGCTTTTATTTATTTATTTTTCTTCATTGATTTTAGAGAGAAAGGAAGGGAGAGAGAGAGAGAAACATTGATGAGAGACAACATCCAGTGGCCGCCTCCCGCATGCCCCCCACTAGGTATCGGGCCCACAACCTGGGCATGTGTCCTGACCGGAAATTGAACCAGCGACCTTTTGGTGCATGGGTTGATGCTCAACCACTGAGCCACAACTGGCCGAACTGAATTGTGGTACTTTTAAAAATATAAGTTCAGATAAATCAAAAGGGACTTTGCACATTATCTAGTTTCTGAGAGCCAATGATTTTGGAGGCCTTGAACTCCATCCACCAGGATTTCTTTTTCTTTTTCTTTTCTTTTTTTTTTTTAATCCTCACCCGATGACATTTTTCCATTTTTTATTCAGATAGAGCGGGAGGGAGAAAGAGAGAAAAACATTGATGTGAAAGGGACACATCGAGTTGCTGCCACCCACACAACACAACCAGGGCCTGGGACAAACCACAACCAAGGCACGTGCACTTAGCAGGAATCGAACCCAGGTCTCTCTGGACCCCAGGCCGACACTCTAACCGCTGAGCCAAACCCGCCAGGGCTCCATCCGCCAGGATTTCTAATCAGGTTTTGAGTTGAAGGACTTGGTATAAATATCATCCAGATGTACTCCAGGTGCTTGGTGTGTACAGAGCTTGAGAGCCACTTGCATTTTGCATCAAAAGTAAGTGATGTCAGTTCTGCTAATTGCACATGACACTTTCTTTTGAGAAAACAGTTCCTTCTTTGTCCTCGCCCAGAGATAACTAGCACATTTCCCTGAATTTGTTATAATAGGCCTATGAACTGTACCCCTCTCTATTTTTAATTATAGCTAATTGGGGCCATTCTTCCTGAAATAACTCTGAAAAACCAATTGCCTATCATGTGCCTTGCACCAGAATTTTTACTAAGTGGGTTATTTTGTTTTGATTAGCTCCTAAGTAGTATGTCCCCTAAGAATTGCCATCACTTTTACAAGGGCCATAATCCTTTAACTTGTGCATTTGGGCCACACCTTCAACACTAATATGTGAATGGTTTAGTTTTCTCTTCTTTCTTTTTTATCTTTTTATTTTTAAGTGCTTTGGTTCATAGATACATACTGATGCTTGTTAAAGTGTATTTTTTAGGGGAGGAGATCTTAGATGCCTGCTGTTGGTTTATTTACTTGCTTGAATTGTTCCTATTTTTCCTAACATGAAAGTATAAATTTACATGTTTTCAGTTCTACAGTGTGATGTCATCTTAACATTTCCTATCTAAAATACTAGAAACTTAACAGCATTAACTTATACTTCACAAAGTCAACAGTGTGGCACTGTTTTGATCTTTGTAATTCTTACTATACAAAATTTGTTTCATGAAAAATTAATATAGAAATATTTCATTCTTTCATCTTACACAAGCTGTAAATCCAAATTATTTCCAAACCAGCTATGGCCTAATATTTGCATGAAGTGACTTAGAAGATCAATGAAAACTTCTTTATACATATACTTAAGCCCTAGCTGGTTTGGCTCAGCGGTTAGACCATCGGCCTGCGGTCCAGAGAGTCCCTGGTTCAGTTCCTGCTAAGGGCACGTACCTCAGTTGCAGTTTATCCCCGGCCCTGGTTGGGGTCGTGTGGGTGGCAGCCAGCCAGTCGATGTGTCTCTCTCACATCGATGTTTTCTCTCTCTCTCTTCCTCCCTCTCTCCCTCCCATTCTATCTGAAGATAAATGCAAAAGTGTCCTCGGGTGAAGATTAAATAAACAGTTTTAACATATACTTGGTTAAGCCTGAAGTCTGTCCTGGCAGCCAGCACCTTAGAGAGAACTTGGCCCTCTGAAACACTAGGATATCAAAAGCTTTAATTACTTCTTGCATGTTTATTATATGTATGTATACATGCATACATATGTACATGGGTATGTACGTACATACCTCCTATAATTTGAATTTGGGTTCCCTGCAGTTCTTTTCATCTTAAAACACCATATTGCAGTTGAATAGTACTACCAGAATATAAGTAACTGCAGAATTTTCCATAGTATTTATGGAAATAGAATATGCCAGCTCATGATCAATAGTATATTCTGAATATATACATTCTATATATGTTTCTAGAAATAGACTTACCATCTTCTAGGGAGCTAAGTATACAGTAAACAGACTAAGGTCATAATTTACTGTGCTGATAGAATAGAAATATGATTTGAATGTCTTCTGCTTTATAACTTAGTTCCAAAAATATAGAATGCATATAACGGGAAGAAAATGGGCTTTGAAACTCAGGACTAACTTTGTGACTGCACATGTCAAACATCCCCTTCCCTGCTGCTGTATTGCTGGTGACCCTTTCTTATTTATAATCATCTACCTTAACCAGCCAGGTTATGGTGTCATGTAAACAAAGTTATCATTTCCACAAGTTCGTGTCCATGAAGTAGAGACATAAGTATAAATATAAAGGAAATGAAATAAATGTTATTCAGTTTGTAATCAGCAGATATTATTAGTCTATGTGAGTTTTGTTACAGCTTTTAAGGCATTGTTTGCTTTGGATAGTACTTTCTTATAATTAAGACAAATTTGGAAATGGGGAATTATAGATTATACCTATTTGTAGCAAATAAGGAGAGGCCATTTGATTTTTTGTTAAAAAACTGATACATGAAATGCATAAAATCTTTTTCTTAATCCTTAACATTTTTTATTTGGTTCCTTCTCTCACATTCAAGAAAAACTAATTTTGTTTTGTATGCATCTGTTTAGCTGAGGAAATTTAATCTGATTTTCTTAGATAACATTCCATTTCCTATCCTCTTGAGGCATTAGACCCAAGGATATTTTACCATCACCTGACTTAATTTTCTCCTACAAACATTTTTTTAAATCTAATCTAGGATTAAATCCAGGACTACACATTACATGTAATGATTTATCTTTAGTTACATTTATTTGTTTATTTTTAATTTTTTTCTTTGTTGATTTTAGAGAGAGAGAAAGGGATCAGGAGAGAGAGATAGAAACATTGATGAGAGAAAACATTGATTGGCTCCTCCAGCAAGCCCACAATCTGGGCATGTGCCATGACCAGGAATCGAACCTGTGACCTGTTGGTGCATGGGTCGATGCTCAACCAACCACTGAGACACACTGGCCAGGTTACAAGCATTTTTTTCACAGTATTGTCTAACACAAAACTAATATAGGCATGGAACCAGGTTAACTGTCTAAAAGACATAATTCAATACCTGAAACATCTAGATGTAACTCGGAACCATTTTGTTGGGTTTTGTTTTAAATTTAGATGTCCTAATAGCAAAATTATTTAAACTTGGAAAAAATATATATATATTTTTTTTATCCTCACCTGAGGACATTTTTCCATTTTTTGTTCAGGTAGAGTGAGAGGGAGAGAGAGAAAGAGAGAGAGAGAGAGAGAAATATCGACATGAAAGGGACACATCGAGTGGCTGCCACCTGCACGACCAACCAGGGCTGGGGACAAACTGCAACCAAGGTACGCGCCCTTAGCAGGAACCAAACCTGGGTCTCTCAGGACTGCAGGCCAATGCTCTAACCACTGAGCCCAACCGGCCAGGGCAAAATAATTACGTATTTTGTCTTTGTTTGTTTCTTCTTTTTATAAAATATGACACAAACCACATTTATGATGATGTGTAAATAATGCTCTCAAATCATCTCATCATATCAGCGTGCCTGTCCAAAAATTAAAACAAAGCAAACTTACTAAATATATGTTGATCATTTCCTAGATACATCAAGGAGCCTGTGAACATCTGTTACCAAATTTTCAGCCTCTTCTGGTCTTTAGTAAAATCCCATCCAATATATCCAGATATAAAAGATACACAATTAATGGTATTCATTAGAGTCTTTATTTTCCAGTACACATACCGGTGGCTATAAAATAATTACAGAAAGCAATATTCTTACTGTTGCCTTTTGTTGTATCCGTTTGTTTTGGAGGACTTGTCACTTAGTGTCATTAATGCCTTGTGTAAATGTGAGAGGGTAGGTTCCTTTTCTCTATGCCACTAAATTTTTGGTTCTTTCTTAGGTCCTATCAGCAGTGTCCTCGTGAATAAATATGGCAGTCGTCCAGTCATGATTGCTGGTGGCTGCTTGTCAGGCTGTGGCTTGATTGCAGCTTCTTTCTGTAACAGTGTACAAGAACTTTACTTATGTATTGGATTCATTGGAGGTGAGTTGCTGTTGATTCATTTTCAAACATTATAAAGAGCTGTAAATATATTAAGTACTAGAAACAATTTTTAAAGAAATTCCTGTGATAGCAGTGGGTGTTTATTGTTGAATGAATGAGTTGAAAGAGATGATTGCATCCATTGTCCTAAGAATAGTCAGTGGTAGTAGATAAAATATGTCTTTTATTTTTATCCCTCTATTAGGAAAGTATTTTTATATGTTTGTGTCTGTACTTATTTTTTTAAATGCTATTGACCACTTTTGTGTGTTGATTTAAGAATAATGTGTGATAACTTTACACGTTAAATTACCTGTTTGCGTGAGACAGTTATTTTTTCAAAGTAGTATTTTAAAATATTTAATTTTGGTGAACTAAACATAAAATTTACCTTCTTAAACATTTTTAAGTGTTCAATTCAGTGTTATTATGTATATTCACATTGTTATACAAATATCGCTACCATCTGTCTCCAGAACACTTCCATCTTGTAAAATTGAAACTCTGTACCCATTAAATAATAACTCCATATCCCCCCATGTCCCCCCCCCCCCGAGTCCATGGTAAACACCATTCTTTCTGTCTGTAAATTTGGTAACTCTGCCCTGGCCAGTTTGGCTCAGCGGTTAGAGCATCAGCCCGTGGAACGAAGAGTCCCGGGTTCGGTTTCCGCTGGGGGCACGTACCTCGGTTGCAGTTTGTCCTCGGCCCCGGTTACTTGATGTGTCTCTCTCACATCAATATTTCTCTCTCTCTTCCTCCCTCTCTCCCTCCTGTTCTATCTGAAGATAAATGCAAAAATGTCCTCAGGTGAGGATTTAAAAAAATAAATAAAATTTGGTAACTCTGAGTACCTCTTATAAGTGGAATCATACAGTTAGGTGGTTTGGTTTGGTTTTTGACATTCAATATTATATTATTATTTCAGTTGTACAGCATAGTGGTTAGACAATCATATACTTTACAAAGTGTTCTCTCTGATATTTCAAGTACCCACCTAGCACCATGCATAGTTATTATATTATTGACTATATTCCCTATATTATATTTTACATCCCTATGACTGTTTTGTAATTACCAATTTGTACTTCTTAATCCCTTCACCTTTTTCACCCCGCCCCCCAGTCCCCTTTTCAGCAACCATCATTAGTCTGGTCTCTGTATCTATATCTAAGAGTCTGTTTCTAGTTTGTTTTTTTGTTTTGTTCTTTAGATTTTGCACATAAGTGAAATCATAAGGCATTTCTTTTTCTGACTTTTTTCACTTAGGTAATACCTCTAGGTCCATCCGTGTTGTCACAAATGATAAGATCTCATTCTTTTTTTATGTCCAAGTAATATTCCATTATATATATAGGAGTTGGCAAAAGTAGGTTTGTGGTTGTTTGTGTGGAAAAACATGCAGGTTATGGTTATTACAATAGCTTTAGTTACTCAAAAGAATGACCAAATGGCACACTGCATTTAAATACAATCTTTTCTGCAGTAATTTAAAATGTCACTTTTATCTTGCATTAAATGTTTATGTATTTCAGGTATGATCCAGAACTTTGTCCATTTTCATTGACCAGTGTTTACCTATTCCTTAGTCATAGCCACACTGTTCTGATGATAGTAGCTTTTAGAAGTCCATTTAAAAAAATTTTTTTTTCTTTATCGATTTTAGAAAGGAAGTGAGAGAGAGAGAGGTAGAAACATCAATGAGAGAAAACATCAATTGGTCACCTCCTGCACGTCCCCTCTGTGGGTTGGGCCACAACCTGGGCATATGTCTTGGCTGGGAATCGAACCAGTGACCTCTTGGTGCATGGGTCGACACTCAACCACTGAACCATACCGGCCAGACTAGAAGTCCATTTAAATATCCGCTATGCTTAGTCGCACTCCTCCTCCTGCACCACCATAATTTTTTTTGGTTGGCTTACATGTATTCTCCAAGTATGTCTTAGAGTCATTTTACCTCATTTCCAAAATGAAAATACATTGACATTTTCATTAGAATCACATAAAATTCATGCATTCATTTGGAGAGTACTGACATCTTGACAGTGTTGTGTTTTATTATCCAAAAATGTTGTGTGTGCCATTTTAATTTTTTTTTTTTTATTTATCCTCACCCGAGGAAATTTTTCCATTTTTTGTACAGATAGAGAGGGAGGGAGAGAGAGAGAGAAACATCGACGTGAAGGGACACATCGAGTGGCTGCCACCCGCACGACCAACCAGGGCCGGGGACAAACTGCAACCGAAGTATGTGCCCTTAGCGGGAACCGAACCCGGGTCTCTCCGGACCGCAGGCCGACGCTCTAACCGCTGAGCCAAACTGGCCAGGGCTGTGTGTGCCATTTTAAATTCTCTAGCACTTCACGAAAGTTACACAATCCTAGTTATTAATTGCACATTTTTAGTTTTTGGTGCTATTGTAAAAGGAAGAATTTCATACTGCATTTTCTATTGTAATATTATTTCTCTCTCTTTGATAATAGTCTACTTCATGAATTCCTATGGTTATAGTAAACCTTCAGGTGATTTTACTACATTTGACAAATAGTTTTTCACCTTTAAGTAGTATAAACAATAATAAAAATCATATTTATTGAGCGTTTACACATGCCAGGCATTAGTCTAAGTGTTCTACTCACAATAGTGCTATGCACCTGTTTTACATATTAGGAAACAGTCACAGGAGGGTCAACATGTCTGACATGACACACAATAAGTAGTGATGCTGAGATTTGAACACACATAGTCTGGTTTTAGAGCTCACACTTTAAACCACTATAGTGTCTTCAATAATGAGGATCTTTGTCTCCTTTCATTACTTGTACCTTTATTTTAATTTATTTGTCTGGTAAGTAATTCCAAATATCTCTCTGACATTTATTACAGTATGTGATTTTTTTTTTCCCCTCCTCCGCAGGTCTTGGGCTTGCATTCAATTTGAATCCAGCTCTGACCATGATTGGCAAGTATTTCTACAAGAAGCGGCCATTGGCAAATGGACTGGCGATGGCAGGCAGCCCCGTGTTCCTCTCTACCCTGGCTCCCCTCAATCAGGCTTTCTTCGGTATCTTTGGCTGGAGAGGAAGTTTCCTAATTCTTGGAGGCTTCCTACTAAACTGCTGTGTGGCCGGAGCCCTGATGAGACCAATAGGGCCCCCACCGGCCACTACAGAGAAATATTCTAAAGAAACTTTTCAGGAAGCTGGAAAGTCTGATGCAAAAGTGGCAGGTGATGCAAATACAGATCTCATTGGAGGAAACCCTAAAAAGGAGAAACAGTCAGTCTTCCAAACAATTAATAAATTCCTGGACTTATCCCTGTTCACTCACAGAGGCTTTTTGCTATACCTCTCCGGAAATGTGCTCATGTTTTTTGGACTATTTACTCCTTTGGTCTTTCTCAGTAGTTATGGCAAGAGTCAGCATTACTCTAGTGAGAAGTCTGCCTTTCTTCTTTCTATTCTGGCTTTTGTTGACATGGTAGCCAGACCATCTATGGGACTTGTAGCCAACACAAAGTGGATAAGACCTCGAGTTCAGTATTTCTTTGCTGCTTCTATTATTGCAAATGGATTGTGTCATCTGACAGCACCTTTGTCGTCCACCTATGTTGGGTTCTGTATTTATGCAGGAGTTTTTGGGTTTGCATTTGGGTGGCTCAGTTCAGTATTGTTTGAAACATTGATGGACCTCGTTGGACCCCAAAAGTTCTCCAGTGCTGTGGGATTGGTGACCATTGTGGAATGCTGTCCTGTCCTCCTGGGGCCACCACTTTTAGGTATAGTATGTCTCCTTATTTTCGTGGTTCTGTTAACATAAAACAGGCACAAAGATTGGGAAGGTGATAGAAAGCAGAGATCAGTGAGCCTCTTGCTGGAGGGGAGAGCAAGTCTTTCTCATTTCCGTGCCCTCAGTACTGATACAATGCTTGGCACAGCACAATTGCTCAAATACTTACAGAATTGAATTAAATAGAACCATCAAGCTGAAGGGAGCAAAATATTTTTACAAATAACATTGTTTCTTAAAATGTTTTCTCTTTGTAAAACTTACATCCTTATCGTAAGGAAACATGTAGTCTGGCCGGTGTGGCTCCGTGGTTGCGCATCAACCGATGCACCAAGAGGTCGCTGGTTCGATTCCCAGTTAGAACACATGCCCAGGTTTGGGCCTGATCCCCAGTGGAGGGCATGCAGGAAGCAGCCAGTGGATGTTCTCTCTCATTGATGTTTCTGTCTCTCTCTTCGTCGTACTTTCTTTCTCTCTAAAATCAATAAAGGAAAAAAACTTAAAAATAAAGAAAACATGTAAAATACAACTCCACCTCTAAAGCACTGGTGGTAGTTGCACTTTAATGAATTTATTTTAGCAGTAGTAATTAAAGTAGTAGTAGTAATAATAGCTGCCATGTAAGATCATAGTGCATTGTCCTATTTTCTGGGTTCGCTTATATCTCACAAGTCTATGAGGTAGGGACTGTTAAGAGTCCCGCTTTGCAAGTGAAGAAAAAAGCTTTGAAAAGTGAAATGATTTGCTTTATATCACGCAGTTGGTAATTGAGTATACAATTTGGGAACTATTTCCTAAGGTTATTCAATACTTCATCTTTTAAATAATTAGCTCAATATATAACGCATAGTAAAAAAATAATTTGGCTCTCTTTCTGAGAGGATGTAACTTAAACTTCCTTCCACCATGCCCAATGAGTTGCCAAATCTTGTCAGTTTTCACTTCCTAAATCTCTTTATATTCTATACACTTTCTTCATCGCTATACTTCCCTATAGTTCCTATCTGGGCTGGCCTAGTAGCCACCTAACTGATCTACTATATCCATTCTATCTAGACTTCAATCTGTTTTCTACTCTAAAGGCAAAATTATTCCTACAAAAGTAAATCTGATATTTCAGCTCATTAGAGCTCTTGAGTTGCTTCCCATCTTCTTAGGGTGAAGATCAAATTTCCTAATGTGGCCTACAGGGCCCCTCATGGCCCCGCCCACCTTTCTCTCCAGCTTCATTTCCTACCTCTGGCCTGTGCTCTCCTCCAGCATCCTGGCCCCTCTCCTTTCCCCTCTCACCCCCTGTGCTTCCTCCCACCACCTGCCTTTGCACTCACTGTTCTCTGCCTGGATCCCTGTCCTACCGCCTTTCTCCCAGATAACTTCTTTCTCCTATCAGTCTTGGCTTAGTTTACTCTTTAAGAGAAGCCTTCCTGACCCTATCTCCTGTTCTCTGCTTTCAACCCTCCTAGTAGCACTGGTCACAATTTGTGTAATTATTTGATTAACATCTCTCTCTCTTACATTAAACATCGATCAACCGCCTCCTGCATGCCCCCACTGGGGATCAGGCCCACAAACTGGGCATGTGCCCTGACCGGGAATCGAACCAGCAACCTCTTGGTGCATGGGTCAGTGCTCAACCACTGAGCCACACTGGCCTGGCTAAAATTTTAGTTTTTAATATCTATTGTAATGTTAAGAGAGATGGATACACTAGACTAGATGTTAAAAAAAAAAAAAAATAGAACTTAAAATATCATGTTAAAGGACTAAGTAGCCAATAAAACACAGATTTTTATGTCACATTTCAACTTGCAAGTACTTCGACTGTTAAGACAGGGCGTGTCCAGAGAACAGGTGGAAAGGGACATTGAAAATAACTTGTCCAGCCCTGGCCAGTTTGGCTCAGCGGTTGGAGCGTCGGCCTGCGGTCCGGAGAGACCCGGGTTCGGTTCCCGCTAAGGGCATGTACCTTGGTTGCAGTTTGTCCCCGGTCCTGGTTGGTCGAGCAGGTGGCAGCCACTCGATGTGTCTCTTTCACATCGATGTTTCCCTCTCTCTCTCTTCCTCTCTCTCCCTCCCACTTTCTCTGTACAAAAAATGGAAAAATGTCCTCGGGTGAGGATAAAAAATAAATAAATAAAAAATAACTTGTCTAAGTCACCACATTGTCCAGTGGACTCTGTCTCCAAATCCATGAACAAGAGGTGCTGTAGCATATTGGAAAAAAAAAATTAAAACCTTTCTTCTTTTCTTAACCTTTTGGCTAGGTTTATTCTAGCCAAACTGTAAGAACTGGCCCTCCCTCCTCAGGAGGCTTTTGTCTTCTCAAACCCCAGTGAGCCAGAGCGGCACTTCTCCAGCCGCACTGTGCTGCTCGCATATCACCTGCCTCTGTTAAAGTGCAGAATCCGACTTAGCATGTCTGGGGAGGGCCTGCGATGTCACATTCCTGTTTAGCTCTCACGCAACACCATGCCACTTGCTGCTCTGTGGATCCTACCTTTTGAGTGGCAAGGAGAAGACTGTTTAAAATCTCTGTCTTGAGGCTTTTTCTTCTCATTTTTTCTAGAAGCCAGGCTTGAATGGGGAGGACTCTCGCCCCCAGTCACCTCCATGTCCTCAAACATTGTCTTTAATATCTTAACCGGGGATCAAACCCACAACCTTGGTTTATTAGGACGACCCCCTAACCCACTGAGCCTACCCTGCCAGGGCTCCTAAACTTCTATTGCAACAATTTTTTCCAATATGTATTGAGAAAATTGATTCTAAATGATTTCTAGTTCTTTTCCAATTCAAATTTGCCAAGATTTAATTATTTTCAAGTTGTTAAAAATAACAATACACAAGGCCATCCCAAATCAAACAGGACATCATAAACAAAAGGTCAGGTCATTTTTAGTAGTTCCTTTTAAATCAATTTGTCATTTGTGGGCTATTTGAGAATTGGATTGACATCCCTCCAAGTATAGATCCTTGAATTTTATTTGGGAAAGGGTATTACTTTTACCCACATAACTGTTTACTGGATTGTTGTTTTGACATCTTTAGGTCGTCTCAATGACATATATGGAGACTACAAGTACACATACTGGACCTGTGGCATAATTCTCATTGTCGCAGGCATCTATCTCTTCATTGGCATGGGCATCAATTATCACCTCATGGCAAAAGAACAGAAAGCAGAGAAGCAGCAGAAAAAGGAAAGTAAAGAGGAAGAGATCGGTATAGATTTTGAGAAGCCAAAAGAAATTACCAACACAGCGGAATCGCCAGAGCAGAAAGGCACCGAAGGCAGCCCCAGAGAGGAGGAGAGTCCAGTCTGAACCCATGGGGCTAAAGGGTAAATGGAGCAGCTTGTGACCCAAGATACCTGAAAATGTTCTGCTGGTCTGTAATCTCCCAGTGGTGCTCAATGCAAATAGTGGACATTTATGTGGAAATCCTACCCAGGTGTTCCTTGATGGAATTTTTTTTTCACTCCTTACCATTAGTCCAAATTTAAAATGCTATATATATCCTTTGGGGAGGGAGTGGTTGGCAAAGAATGAGGGAAAGAAATTGGATATGTTCTTTTTTTTTTATCTTAGCTTTTAACAATGTCATGAAGATTATAATATGTGCCTTAAGTTTTAGTCTTTAAAATTTTTAAGGAGCCTTAACTTTTCAAACCATTCTGCTGACTTTGTCTGTTTTAAGTGTTTTGTTACAAAGAAAAATAACTAACTTGTTCAAAGCAAATCTAAAATTTAAAACTAATCTTGCTTCAGTATTATTTGTAACATATTGTCAGACATTATCACTGAAAGACTGAATAGAAATACTGGTTGAAAGCTGGGAGTCTTATAAAATCCTCACTAAAATATTTTCCTAGCATCAGTAGTTGCCTGACATATGTGCCTGCCTGCTATATATTTAGGAAACTTAAGGCATAAATTTTTGGAAATATCGTGGCTATTCTAAACACATTGTATTCATCAACACCCCTCTCGTATCTAAGGATGCTTATTTGAAGTCAAGCTCTTGAGTTGATTTCATTAAAATATTATTTCTGCGCCCCTTTGCAAAGACATATTTTGAGTGTTTATAGTCAGTGTCCCTTTCGAGATTACTTAATATTATTTTTTTCACTGTAAAAGTTAGTATTAAAATATGCAAAACTATGTTTGTGCCTCCTTAGTAAATCCAACATCTCTAATTAAATGTAGGCAGATATTTCAAACAGCAGCTGAATTCAGCTTAGGTTTCTCTGAAACCTCAGTTAAACTGTGAGATTTAGAATCTTTTTGTTGTTTTTCCTGGATTTTTTTCCTCCTTTGATTCATAGTGGTTCCATTTATGTCTGTGTCTAGCTTAGGGCTGTGTGTGAGATATTTGGTTTGTGTGTGTTTTGGTGGGGTTTTTTTATTTTTATGTTTGCTCATTAAAGAGAGCCAGAGAGATTTGGCCCCAGGCAAACCTCTAAGGATAAGATTGGGAGAGAAGTTGCTGAGTGTTAATAGTTTAATAAATAACTCCTTTTTCTGATAAGTTTTTGTTTTTTTTTAATCCTTACCCGAGGACATTATTTTTTTTCTTTTATCTTCAGATAGAACAGGAGGGAGAGAGGGAGGAAGAGAGAGAGAAACATCAATGTGAGAGTCTGGTTGCCACCCACAAGACCCCAACCGGGGCCAGGGATAAACTGCAACCAAGGTACGTGCCCTTAGCAGGAACTGAACCCAGGTCTCTCTGGTCCGTGTGCTGATGCTCTTAACCACTGAGCCAAACTGGCCAGGGCTCTTACTCTTCACACAAACCTAAAAAATGTGTGACCCTTTTCACTTATTTGAAAAGTAGAGAAATGGATTTAGTATAAGGAGAGGAGGGAAGATGGACCAGAATGAAAACAAAATGTTTTTAAACCTAATATCTTTTAAAGTAATGTAGGACAATGATAGAGATTCAATGAATTATATATTGTATACAGTGTATTTTTTTGAAAAATTACTATGATTGACAGTGAAATTATAGATAAAAACCTTGTGTAAGAGGCTGGCTTTTCCAAATAAACTTTTTTCTCCTTTTTTTTTTAGAAATGTTTCTTCCTCCAAATGTTTTATTTGAGGAAAATGTTACTGTCTTTATTTTCATTATTAAGATTCCATTTGACCCTTGCTAATATTAAATCATTCGGCTTATGTGCTTTGGGCTTTGTATATATGGCTTGTTTTGATTTTTCTCCTTTTCCTCTTCTTTAAGGCAAGCAAGAGGGGAATTTTGAAACAGCCTCTCTGAAAGCATCCAGAGTAGTTAACCGTAAGGACACAATGAAAACTCCCTCTGTGTGAGTGTCATGGCAGATGGAGGAGGCATTAATGAGAGAAGCCTACTGTGACTATTGGCAGGCTTGGCTGTGGTTTGGACTCTGCCATTTTCCATGGACCTGAGTTCATAATCTCTATGCCTCTTTCCCCTTCAGTAAAAATGAGGATCGGCCCTGGCCAGTGTGGCTCAGTTGGTTGGAGCACTTAAGGATCTTGGGTTTGATTCCTGATCAGAGCACATACCCAGGTTGCCAGTGTGATCCCTGGTCGTGGTGCATATGGGAGGCCACCGATCCATGTTTCTCACATTAATGTTTCTCTCTCTCTCCTCCCTTCCTATCTCTAAAATCAATAAAAACACATCCTCAGGTAAGGATTTAAAAATAAACAAAAAACCAGGCTCACTGTCGGTGAGGGAATATAAGTAAAGGATATGGTGGGGGGGCGTAAATAAAGCGGGTGTATAGGATTATTTTCCCCCATCCCAGTTGTTGAGCTATATCCACACACAAGTCCCTGCTTGTTGGTCTTTGGTCATTAACTGAATTATGTTGGTAAAGGGAGAGGTTTGTAGTGCAGATTAACCACCACTTACTAGAACGAAGAGTTCTGAAGCTGCAAGAAGCAAGGGCTAAAACCTGGCTCACAGCTGGAACTAAACCTTTTATCACTCAGTCCAACCCTAACTTTCTCCCACTGAAGATACAGGCTTAAGGGATTTATTTAAGATGAGCTTTGGTAACACAGCCAACACTAAAACCCAACACAGGCCTACTCTGTGCCTTCTATTCTTAAACCACCAATCCTGTTAGTGTTGCCTTCAGCAATGAAGCAGCTAGCCTTTCTGACCCAGTCTGTTCTACTCCATGTGAGAACTGTTTTATTTCCATTCACACAGTAGCTGCTTTGGGAAAAAAAGATGTATGCACAGAGTACCTGCCTATCTTTTCTTTGCTCCACATCCTCTGAAAGTCAGAGAGAACATATGCAGCTCTTACATAGTGGTATTGCCCAAAAAGGCTTCAAGAGTACACGCTAAAACAGGCTCCTAAGCCAATGCTAGAAAATTATTTAAGAAACTAATGAGCCCTGGCCAGTTTGGCTCAGCAGTTGAGCGTCGGCCTGCGGACCAGAGTCCTGGGTTCGGTTCCTGCTAGGGGCACGTACCACAAAATAAGAAAGGAAGGAGGGAGGGAGGGAAGGAGTTAGACTAGGGATGGGGAACCTTTTTCCTGCCAAGGGCCATTTGGATGATTTATAACATCATTCACGGGTCATATAAAATGATCAACATAAAAATTAGCCTGCCATATTTGGTCAGACATTTAATTATCCCAGCCTAATGTGATGGCTGGAACTGCTTCTCTGTGGTGAGGCGTGTGATGTGAGCTGGTACTGGTGATGTTGCTACTCGCAACTGCTTTTCCAGGTTTGTGTCAGTCTGGAGCTCAGTTCACTCTGCGATGGTAAGTTTTGAAAAGAACTGCTCACAGTAGTGGTTGTTTTGAACACAGATGCATATTTCTTTTGTTATTAATCCTTACCCAAGGATATTTTTCCATTGCGTTTTAGATAGAGTGGAAGGGAGGGAGAGAGAAAAACATCAATGTGAGAGAGACACATTGATTGGCTGCCTCTCACATGACCCCCACCAGAGCAAGGGATCAAACCTGCGACCCTTTGGTCCAGGGCTGACCCTCTAACCACTGAGCCAAACCAGCCAGGGCCACAGATTCATATTTCTATGTGTATATCATCAAAGTGGGAAATGCATCATTGCTTATGTAACATTTATAGAACTCAGGCAGGGAGAGGTGGTTGTACCTGACTTTCCACTCATCACCACTCTGCAGCTGAATGATTTCCTGTTATAGGTTATCAGGCACATCTCAATTAGTTTCGCACATTCACCGGCATATTCAAGTGTCCTAGAAGGCTTTTGTCCTTCCAGAGGGGGAAATGCACCATGTTATTTCTTTGGAGTTACACTTTCCACAGCCTTAATTTAGCTTCAAATGATTTCACATTTGAAAGCAGGGAGCTGAGAAGTTGGTTGGGGCTCTGCATAACGTTCAGCTCTGAGAGGTGCTTGGTAATGTCCCCCATGAACGCTAAATCACACAGCCACTTGCTATCATTGAGTTCCCCGATAGGTTTTCCCTTCATCTCCATGAACTGCTTGACATCATCCCATAGTTCATAAAACCTCATGGGCACGTTCCCGTGACTCAGCCACCGCACTTCACAGTGACAAACCAGGTCACCGCACTCGGAGTCAAGATCGTTCAGTAACTCGTCAAACTGGTGGCTGTTAAACCCTCTGCTTTTGGCAATATTTATGCAAGACACTACTGTTGACATCGCATTACTGAGCTGAAACAACCGAGCACAGAGACTTTCTTGGTATGTGATGCAGTAGCATCTAATTAAGTCACTTGGATCAAGATTTAGACAATTCAGTTCTTTCTTGACAAATGCAATTAACCCTTTTTGTGAGCCAGCCATGGCTGGAGCTCCATTTGTAGTAAGGCCACTTAACTTTTCAAATGTTAGCTAAAGTTTTTTTATTGATAAAACCAGTCTCTCAAACAAGTCCTCACCTCTTGTGGCTTCCAGGGACAGCAGTTCCTCTCGCGTGTCAAACTGCAGTTATCCCATGAACAAAAATGGCCAGTTGGGCAATATTTGTTATGTCCACTGTCTCGTCACAAGCCAGAGCGAAAATTTGGAAATCTGCAGAATCCTTCAGTGTTTTTTCAAATACCTTGTGCTAAGTCAGTAATCCTATCATAAGACTGTTCTCTGAGGAGAACTAACGCTCTGAAACAAAACAACTTGACTCTGTCTGGTGCTAACAGCTCTGCAGCAGCCACCACACACTTTCACAAACTCCCTTTACGTGAGGCCTCAGCTTCTTTGTGATTAGCTCGCTCACTACATAACTCGTCTGAATAACGTCACAATGAGGCCTAGTGAAAGTGGCTTATTGTGATTCCAAACTCCCGTTGAAGAGCATTAATTTTTTTTTAGTCTTTTTTTCCTTTATTGATTTTTAGAGAGAGAGCTAGAAACGTCTATGAGAGAACATCGATTGGCCACCTCCTGCATGCCCCCCACACTGAGGATTTGGCCCACAACCTGGGCATGTGCCCTGACCGGGATATTGAACTGGCGACCTCTCAGTGCAACCAGAGCCCCACCAGCCGAGCTAAAGAGCACTGATTTTATCCATACGCATCTGGCCTCCCAATTTATTGAGTTTAGCACATTTTGAGCTGTAATGACTTGCCAGACTGGCTTTTTTCATTACTGCTAACACATCACGACAAACTAGGCACACAGGTTTGCCTTTGACTTCAACAAGAACAACCATTTGTTCATTTCTCTTGAAAAGATCAACACTCCAACTTTCCTTCTCTTTGTAGTCGCCATTTGTAGGATGTCACACCACTGAAGTTTTATTTTTTTTATCCTCGCCCAAGAACATTTTTGCATTTATCTGCAGATAGAGCGGGAGGGAGAGAGGGGGGAAGAGAGAAACATCGATGTGAGACAGACACATCGAGTGGTTGTCACCCACACAACCCCAACCGGGGCTGGGGACAAACAGCAACTGAGGTACGTGCCCTTAATGGGAATCGAACCCAGGACTCTGGTCCACAGGCCAATGTTCTAATCGCAGAGCCAAACAGGCCAGGGCCACACCACTGAAGTTTTAATAACCAGTGTGTGTGTGTTGCCAGTGACAAGATTATTTTTATTTGATCACTGTTCTAATTAATCCTTCATCTTGGATTTGGAACATATTCAACATTCTTATCAACTCTTGAGGTCTTTTCTGTGTACTATAATTTCCTTAATTTTCATCTGAGATTCCATTTTTGAGAGGATTGTTGATCATGGACATGTGGGTAAAGATTGGATTGGAGTTACTGTCTGTGTAGACAGAAGTTGACAACATCGTCAATCATTGGAGGTAAGGTCATCAACAATGGGAGGAATCATCTCATCGCATCTCGTCTCATCACTGGATCGCAGTAGTCTGGCCACAGTGTTAACACTTTCGTAACATGTACACTCCCAGCCTGCCTGGCACTGAACCACTGGGTAACCACGATACAGGCAGATGGGCCATGGGCAGCCAATGACAAGCATACATGTCTGTCCTGTCATGTACTCGTGGGTCTTGTATAGCCCATAATGGATGTCCCTTACTTGTCCCTCAAAATATGTTATTATTATGATTCACTTAATATAAATTTATGTTGCCATGCAAACAACTCCTAGATTTATTTAATTTTGAGTCCCACCTGT